AAATGCAAAGCAATACAAAAGCGGAGAAGTAAACATATTATTATTTACATCAATTTATTCATTTATAAAAGGTATATAACAAAAGAATATGGGGCAATTCATATAAAGCGATTTCAATTCAACTGCCTGGCCATTTACGAGCAGCTTTTTAAAAGTTGTTGGAAGTAATTTTTAATGCCTAATAGTATACATATTTATATTTATTTTATACAACTCCTGGCTAATTAAAAAAAAATCCAAAAAGCGGATATTTATTGTTGTTATTTACAAATAATTATTGACTATTATTGTATGTATATCGTATATGTACCTATCCAGCTGTTCACTACGAGGGTTACTTGAACAGTTTCCGACCGAACAATGAAATTTTTTCTCATTAAAAAAAATTCTATAGAATTCTATGCTCCCATCTCTGTAACAAGAATCTTTGTCCTCCGAGCGTAGTTTTCAGATGAATGCCCGAAAAGAAGTCGCTTGGGACTAGATCCGGTAAGCAAGGCGGATGGTCAAGCAGCTCAAACCGTAATTCATAACAGGATTTTTTTTACAATGTGACCGTTTTTCCGCATTTCACAAAAAATCACAAAAATGGCCGAAACTTTGGTAAGTAACTATCAAAATGTGCACAACTACGATCACCTTTTCACCGAAACTTTTCAATTGAGCCTCGTATTTAACTACGAGTTTGACAAATTTTTCGAAAAATTTTGAGATTCACGACCTTAATTAGCCCTAAGTATCCAAAAAACTAGCATTTTTCTGTTTCGACAAATATGTGCGTTATTTTTTTTTAATTTTTACATATATGTGCGTCATATCATTCAAGAAAATATTTTATAACAAACGATTACGATTAAGTAATATTTTAACTGTAATATACAAATACATTATTGCAAAAGTTGTGAAAAGCAAATTGACTCGTTTTCAATATTCTTTTACAATAAACAAATGAATAAAAAGATACTCCGGTTAGTTTTTTTTCAAAATTTTGGAAAGATGTCAACCGCTTTATGTTAAAGGTAATTGTTTCCATTCTAAAAAACTAATAATAATAATAAATTCATAAAATAATCTCGCGAACGACAAGTGACTTGGAAACGTCAATTTTAATTCCGAATCTCGCGGAAGCGAAGTGCTTCGAAATTGCAGGCGGGCGTCCTCACGACGCTGCTTTGTCACGAAAAAGTGCGAATCGGTGATTAAATGATCGTTTAAAGGAGAAAGCTCAGATGTGCAGATGAAGTTTCACGTTTTGCGTTTATACTGGGCGGCCACTCTTTCAATGATATTGTGTGGGTAACTTTTCAACCATTGAAATTATACGATTTGACGCAAACTGTGTCGCTAGATACATAATTTCGTGAAGCTGCCAAAATTAAAGTATCGGAGATTCATCTAATTTTACTTAAACAAAGAAGTTGAGGCTCTCAATTTACGAGATGAAGTTTGTATGAAAAAGTTGTGTCCAGAAAACTGATCGTTTGTATTATTTCAATTGTCACTCCATTATATACAGGACGGTCAAATAAAGTGATATATTTTTCAATGGAACACATTTTTACATATCACTGTAAAAGATAAACGATAACATCTTTTATAGGATAATACTTTTTCTCACACAATGTTCAAAATTGAAATATTTCCGGATAGGCTTTGAAAAGACGAATCCAACTATCTATATATAGGTCTGCGATGCACCGTTTTGAATTTATTGATTTTTAATTCTGAAAGCGTCCTTAATGTTTTTTCATAAAATTCCTGTATCGATAACGATTTATTAAAAAGTCGTGTCAAAAATTTATTTTTAAAACAATATTTAACAAACCTTTTGAAAAATAAAATCCACATATTGAATAGTGCAAGTATTACCAAATGATTTATGGCATTTAATAGGTCGCATTTAATGGGTTAATTTAAATTAAGTCAAAAACTTCAATTGTTTTTGTATACTTCTCTTTATGGGGCACCTTAAAAGATATAAGAGAAGTCCTCAAATTTCCATTTAAAAATTCACCGCTTCGTTGATAAGGAGCGCAATGTTGTTATCAAATTAAATTTGGATGTTCTATTTCAAAATCATGCAATATTTTCCCTAAAATTCTATCTCTCCAAATACCCGCGCCATACTTTAACCGATCTTCTGCCTTGTTTATTTATCACAAATTCACAAAGTCGTTCATATTATTAACTCAAACTCAGAAGCTAAGAAATCTAATTAATTAATTGCGTTGATATTGCCTTGGAATTGATGAACATTGAACAAATATCGTTGGATTCTTCTTTTATAGGGCTCTCCGAAAATGCAAAAAATATACATCGCGATTTGATAAAAATACAATTTATTTTTTCAAAATTTCAAATTTGTTTTTTTTTTTCAAAAATGTGTTACGTTTTTACCCTGCGCAATATACCAAAAACCTTTGACACATAACTTGAATCCCGAAGATATCCGGTAATAATAACGCATACATAAATATCTTTGGATTCATCTTTTGAAGAGCTATTTAAAAACGTAATAAAATATGGATCATCCTGTATGTAATTGAGTGACAACTGAAATAATACATAAAAGATCATTTTGCTAACAAAAATTTTTGTATTTATTTATTTTTTTTGTAACACTCATATAGATTTTGAGATACACGGTATAGGCTCGTTTTAAATCTGCCGCTCTCTACAAATGTTTTGGGGTTCAACGATGAAATCTTTAGTATAGCACACTGAATTTTTGTGCATTTTCATATTTTTCAATTTGAGGAGAAAGCTCTTGACACCTTTCATCTAAAACCAAAATTATGGAAAAGCTACGTCGATGATACTTTTGTTATTTGGCCTCATGGTCACCCTAGTAGACATTTAAACTCTATACACCCTAACATACGTTTTACCATTGAGTTCAAAACTAATAATAACCTTCCATTCTTAGATATTCTTATCAATAGAAAATCAGACCTAACATTTGGTCACATCACCATTCGGTCCAAAACTCATCGGTTATCAACTCTCTTGTTTACAGTGTTACAGCTATTCTGTAGACAAACAAGTGAACTCTTTTTGAACCCTGCTACTTTTGAACAACTTTTTGTATCTTGGTAAAGATCATTGGGGCAAACATACCATACATTCACTAGTCCCGAATCACTACTACGAGCACAGTTTATTTAACCCATATTATCCCAAGCATAAAAAAAATACTCTTTTGCTCTGAGATTGTTTATTTTGGTGCACTTAAGAATACATTACATGTGTAAAAAAAGAATAAATAAAAACTCGAAACATACAAAAAATACTGGTGCGTAAACGAACCACTGGGAAAAAACATTAAATAATGTTTTGGGGCACATAAGATGTAACATTTAATTTATACATAAATATACAAAAGAAAGTTCAAATTCGACAGAAAACAACTAAAAGCAGATTGTTTTCCAAATATTTTACGTTGCGTGAGCGCACCACTGGTTTCATTTTTGGTGATATTTTACAAAGCATGAAGTATATAAATGCACATTACTCTTATTACAAGCGTAAATTGTGTGGCTGTGGCAGATTCTACATCTCTTTCGGGCTTTATTAGCGTGAACAATCATGAGGTAACCTGATTATCATAACGCACTTCATACATGGCAGGTGCCAGATTTTTTGAGTAATTGTTTTATCCGTTTTTAAAAGTCGCAAAGCAGTGTAAGATTTAAAATCAAATCAATCTTTTCGTCATCAAAAAACATAAACAATATTTTAAGCGAAGTTTTTCCAGAAAGCCTTACATGATCTAAAATCATCGGATATAGGTGTGTGAGTGTATTCGATCTTTTGAATTCCAGGGTTTTAACATCTGATGAGCCCCATTCAGGTTCAGTAGTTGATGAATCATAGAACTGTTGAAGGACAGCTGTATGTAACTCCAAAGTTCCAACTATGTCAGTTGGTTCCTCAAACTCTTGTAGATTTATGTTATCGTTCATATCTTCTTCGAGGTATCCACTTCGAGTGGAATATAGACCGCGTCAATATGTTCTGCAAATATTTTTTTCACATTATTTATAGCATACATTTACAAGGAATGGAATGCAACAATACATAAGAATACGTAAATCCATTTCCTTTCATTGTTATTGTCCTCATCCATCACGATCTCCTCCATAGCCGCCTCTAATTCTTTTTGAGTAAATTACCTCGAAAATGCCATATTTTACGAACTGTAACGTTCACTGCACAAGGCACGAACTAATACTCAAGAACACGCTAATTGTTGGATGTTTATTCTACATGCGCCGACTTGTCTAGACTTGCAATATCAAAGTTTCGTTTAACAGTGAAACCAGAGGTGCATTCTCGAACCAGTATATATTTCGCACCAGTGTATCTTTTCTGTGATGTAATCTACATGCTATAGACTTAACAGAAATGGCAATACAAATCCAAAATATTATTTTTTTTTTGCTATTTTGGATTTATTTGAAAATGTGATACAAATTTATGTACCGCTTTTGTTAACTTTTGAAGTCATATATAAGATCTTTCCTTTACACATAAAGTTAATACAATAATCATACAATTTCTAAATGGATGTGCAAAAACATTTCATGGATGTGACACAGGAATCGTAGACGCACGACTGGGACAAAACGGATTGATCGAAACTTTATTATTGCTTCATTTACAAAACTGGAAATAATAGGGCTATTGGAAGGAAATGGTATGACCAAAGAATTTGTTTTTTTTTTCTTCTAAAATATTTCACAGCGCGCCCGCGTAAATTTAATTTCGGTAGCCTCAGGGCATGCATCTTTTATCCCATTTAACCTTTAGTGGTGTGAAAGCTAGCCGCATACAATGGCATCGAAAAAGTGGCAGCTGTATGTATACGCTTCTAATTGCAATTTCTTCTTCGATTTTATTATACGAACGTTATAGTTTCTTGAACGAGGAGCGTTGCCTCCGTTCAGGTATATACCGCGACAGCGGATTAACGAGTTGACATTTTTTTATTTTTGTTGCAGGCCTAACCGGTACCCGATGATTTTTCTCCGAATAAGGTAGGTACGAGCATTTAAATTTACTTTGCGCATGTTATGGCAGGGTGTGTCGGCAGCAGTAATTTGTCGGCGTGTTTTTTCTTCTTCCCTTTTTTTCAAAATCCAAATTAGCTTTTAAAATGTTTAGAAATGAACGGTGGGCATTTTGAAAACGAATTGTAATTAGCACTGTCTACTGTTTAATTAATAGTTTTGTATTTTCGAAAATGTTAAATGTATTTATGTTTGTGCCTTTTTTTTGACTTGTTACTTTCGAAAATCGATTAAATCGAATTTTTCGAAAGTATCTGTGCTCGTATAAAAATTTTATATTTCGGTAACGGTAGGTCCTATGGGATCGCCATTGGTACAGATATAATCAGCGTTGATAAAAAAAATTGTTTTTGTCTGCCCGATCTCCGTTCTCGTATTTTTTTTTCCTGAATAATTTTCGAACCGTTGGAGCTACAAAATTGAAATTTGCCTCCTTTTTAATCCTCCACAAGGCACACATCCCTGATCCGACACCGGTATCCATCTTTTTTCGCGATTTTCGACTGTTTTTTGTACCTTGCTATGAAACACGATAAGTGTCCGAAATTTGAAGCTGATACTCGGCACATATATGCAGCTTTGCCGTGACGGAACCTACTGAAAAGGGGCGGGGGGGGGGGGAGGGGGGCTGGAGTGTCGGGAAGTATTCTAAGAAAAATAAAAAATCGGGCGAGTAATAAGGGTCTACAAAAAACATCATTTGACCAAAAAAATTCTTGAACCAGAACTAGTAGAAGATACGCTCTATAAACTTTTATTTGTGACAATGTTTCAAGAATATACAGGGTGCTCCGCAAATTCAAAAAAAACTGGTCCCCCTATTATTGAAAGTTGGCAATAATTTCAATTCTGTGTTTTAAATGTCAGTTTCTTTTACATGACGATATAGCCCATATAGGCAGCTTAAACTTTTGTATTTACGGTTTTTAAGTATTGTACAGGGTGTTCGCGATATTCCGTGCAATATTAAAAAACATAATAAGTTTGTTAGATTGTTTATAAATTTCTATAGACTCTCGGATTTTTCGTTGGTAGATGAACTAATTATATCCGAGAATTTTTGTTTTATCGAATAAAATGTTATGTCCGGTTTCATGAGTGTGTTCTTAAATGAGTGTAATCTTAACGGCGACTCAGGTCTCTACCTGTTACCAATATGGGAATCAGTCATCCGAGATGGTTTTTATGCCCCTCATTAGCGCCCCCCTCAAACAATATATAAGCAGGTACAGAATAAAATACGAGCCAGTTTCAGTCAAGCTCTGAAGAAGCCAACAGGATGATTGGTGAAACGTTAGCTAGTTCGAGTCAACAAAAACCTACGCAGGAGGAATCCAGAAGTTTTATAAAAAGTAAAAATAAAACTAAATATTACTTGTGTCATTTTTTCGTTTTTTTTTGTGTAGGTGTCCACTAAAAACGGTGGTGGTTACAGCCTCGGAATAAAGAATACCCACTTACGTCATACCTAAAAACAAACAACGGCATTATATTCTCGTACCTATATTTAATTTTTTTAGTTTAATGCGTCCAGGTGCACGATGTAAAATTATACGTATTGCGGAATCGGTGAACTGAATTGAATAATTGTTTATTTACTCGAAGTCGATTATTCATTATAAATTTTCGTATCTGCTTATCGACCCGGCGCACACATTACAACGTCAACGCATTCCATAATGAATGTGTGCGCAAAACTAGTTTTAAATTATGACGAATACGGTTCTATTTATGAGACGGTTTTACATTTCTTAATAATTGTTAGTGTCGTTTGTTGTTCCCGTTCCAGGAAGAGAAAGACTTCGTCATACGGCGTAATTTCTCTCGTGCAGATCGTTCACCTTTCGGCGTAATGGGCTGTTTGACAGTGGGAAAAACGTTATTACGCTCATAGGTTATGGGTTTTCCATGCGATGCAGATTTATACCTCGTAAATAATTAAAATTACACACTATGCTTATTTCAGTTTTTAAGACCTTGCGGACCTCGAGTCATTCCTAAATTACAATCAGACTAACTTGAAGCAAATGGACAATGAAAAAACTTATGCCCACGATAAACCCGGGTTTCTCATAATTTTAAAACTTTATTTCTGATGCAGCGGTAGTCATGCCTGCCGAACGACCAAGCACACACAGACCACCGACACATTACCGGGACCTATATTACCGACAACATTCACAGAGCATAAAAAATATAGGTCTAACCGATCAGTATAAAAGAGAGGGGAAGGTCGCGTATACTGTTACGAATGCCATATATTATTTGTGTCCAAGTACTAAAGTAGTGTTATGGCGGTTTAAAATAATGCGTCACACTGAAAATACTACAGTAGCCTATAACGGATAACAGAACTTTATTTATTTAGTAAAGTCTGTTCATAGATATAAGAAAGTGACTAACTGATACGAATTAAGAAAAGACCCAGGCAAGCTGTAAGAATGAAATATGGCCGAACAGGTCCGTACTTTGCTTAGAATTCAATTATTTGGGGTTTTGTTAGGAAAGATACTAAACAATATTTATTTATTTATTTATGTATGTATTTATGTTCCAATCTAAAATAAAATTACAAATTATTTTCATTACCTATTTAAATTAGTTAAAATTATTCACATAATATATTAGTATAATCAGTAGGAATGTTTGGAACTATTTTGTCTTTAAACACACTTTCAAATAAATCAGCGGTGGTGTTGGAGGACATTGGAGTTAACAAGGGGAAAAACATTGTTACGACGAATGACAGATTTCAGTTCATGCCAAACATGTTCAATGGGATTAAATGTACAGACGTATTCCTTTTGTAGGTTCAAGCTTTGTAGAACCTCAATTAATTGCTTTTTGGTATAATCTTCGTGAAAATAAATGCCGTTATTATACATGCAGTTTTTGATTGTTGCTTTTGTGTCACATGAGGAAGGGGTTTTAGTCAACTGTCTACTGTGATAACTTGCGTTATCCATTACAATTACGCTATTAGTAGGAATGTTTGGATCTAGTTTGTTTTTAAACCATCTTTCAAATAAATCAGCGGTGGTGTCTTCATGGTAATCCAGAGAAGAATCTTCAATATTTTTCGCAGACAGAGAAAGTCCATTTGGAATCCAACCATATTTAGAGCCAGCATGCAAAATAGTTATTCTTTTACCTCTTTTTGATGGCGCGTTTGTTTTACGCTTATCAGTTGAGTCAACCCAACCCTTTTCCGGGGTATCATAAGTCTCAAACCAGGTTTCATCCAAGTAAAACTTGGCCGTTGTTGTTCTGTGTAAATCCTAATTTTTTCTAGATATTCCATATACTTAGTTTAAGTTTATTAGTAATTATTCTTATTTCGTGTGTAATACAGCGTGTGTTGAACCGTGTGCGAATTATGCAAAATATGTGCGACTCTAGTGTATCTCAGGAGATGCTCCCGCCCAAATGTAGAAAACGCTATTCTATTGAAACTAAGGAAGTTATAAACAATGTTTATTTGATTCTCATTGAACGTGGTGCCAGCAAGTAAGCATCTTTAGAAGAAACGGCCACATTGTCGAAAATACATCAACTGTACGGAAAATTTGAATAATCCCATTTCAGCGAGGAAAAAAAGAAGCGATGCTGACATTTTCTCGAGTGTAGATGAAAGTATTCAAGATATAATACGGCGTAAAATTTACCATTTATACGAGGAACAAAGCGTGCCTACATTAGATATCTTAATAAGGAGGCTTGAAAAAGATGAAACCGGTGTTGAATGTGGCAGAACTGCCTTATGGGGTTTTAGATTTAAAAAAATTGACAAAAGGCAAGTTTTAATGGAATCTTTTAGAATTCGGAAATGGCGACTGGAATATTTAGAAAAAATTAGTTTTTACAGAGAACAACAAAGGCCAATTATTTACATGGATGAAGCCTAGATCGACACTTATGATACTCTGGAAAAGGGTTTTGTTGACTCAACTAATAAATGTAAAACAAACGCGCCATCAAAAAGAGGTAAAAGAATAACTATTTTGCATGCTGTCTCTAAAGATTGTTGGAATCCCAATGCACTTTCTCTCTCTGCGAAAAATATTAAAGATTCTTCTCTGGATTACCATGAAGACACCACCGGTGATTTATTTGAAAGTTGGTTTAAAAACAAACTAGTTCCAAACATTCCTCCTAATAGCGTCATTGTAATGGACAATGCAAATTATCACAGTAGACAGTGGACTAAAACCCCTTCCCCATGTGACACAAAAGAATAATATTAATAATAATAATATTAATAATAATAATATTAATAATAATAATATTAATAATAATAATATTAATAATAATAATATTAATTAGTATTATAATAATAATAATTAGAACAGGCGATGATAGCGATAGTGATACTAATATGTGAATAATTTTAAGTAATTTAAGTAGGTAATAAAAATAATTTGTAATTTTCTTTTAGATTTAAACATAAATGCACACATAAATAAATATTGTTTAGTATCTTTCCTAATGAAACCCCAAATAATTAAATTCTAAGCAAAGTACGGACCTGTTCGGCTATATTTCATTCTTACAGCAGTCTTTCGTTAATTTGTATCAGTTAGTCACTTTCTTATATCTATGAACAGACTTTACCTAGAATTCCTAGCATTTCTCAAAAATTTCCTGTAATGCCTTCAGACTTGCCAAAAATATCCTGCAGATTTATAGTTTGAATTCTTCCTGTTGCAGCTGAACCGATTCTGGTAATTCCCCACTTTCTGCGGTAATAATTTCTGTAAATTTTTGACCAACCGAAAGGCAATTTTGTTTTGACTAAGGGTGATGACAAACGATAACTTTTCTTGGTTATCATTATCTTGTTAAATCACTCGGGTTTGTCGGAGATGCTATGAGGTCCTCATGAAAGCACAAACTATACAAGTTTGTGAGTGGCAGTCCTATAGAAACCACTTTTAAATCTTTGAAATCAACTTGTACATAAAGCAACACTTA